GGACTCTGAGAAATAAACTGAGGGTTTTAGAGGGGAGGGGGGTGGGGGGATGGGTTAGCCCGGTGATGGGTATTAAGGAGGGCACATATTGAATGGAGCACTGGGTGTTATTCGCAAACAATGCATCATGGAACACTACATCAAAAACTAATGATGTAATGTATGGTGACTAACAAAACAAAATAAAATTATAAAAAAAAAGATTAACTTAGTGTTGGATAAAGTAATAAAATTGGGTAAATGAATGAAGCACAAAAATAAAAGCTAAATTTCACACAAAATTAATAAACTCAATAGCAAATATTTCAAAATCTGGGTTGTTTACTGAGATTATGAAAGATATAATTAGACATAATGGGCCGAAGGCTTTAGGAAGTATGAAAAGGTAAGCTAGAAAGTAGAGAATTACCCTCAGGTGGGTTGCCAGGGCTCCTCCATTCAGAAGAGAACTAGTATATGGTGTGACAGCTGAAATGAGATTGATTTGAGAGAAGGAGGTTCATAACAACATATTAAATGTCAATTCCAACATAACTTCAAACACAACAGAAATGAAGTAGTTTAGATCTCCCAACCAAACTCTGAGGCTTATAATTAATTTACACTCCTAAAATTTGAGAGTAAACTTCTAAAACCAAGCTATTTCTTCATGTGCATAAAACATTTATAACCCCTTGTGAAAATAATTATTACAACAAAAATAAGCTTTGAAATTTGAAAATAAAAGTTCAAAGATAATTTTCTCATCCAGAAGGAACTGAGACTATTTACAATTGCTTTAAAGAAAATAAAATACTTAGGTATAATCTAACAAAACCTGTATGGATCTATATCCTGAGAATGACAAAATGATGATGGAAGAAATCAAAGATGACCTAAATAAGTGGAAGAATATACTGTGTTCGAGAGTAGGAAGGTTCAATACATCATTTCTCCACAAACTGATCCATGTTTAATGCATTTCCCATTAAAATCCCAGGAAGGTGTTTGTAGACAAAGACAAACTTATCCTAAAGTTTATACGGAAAGGCAGAGGACCCAGAATAGTTAAAATAGCTAAACTTTTAAAAATAAAGCATAACATGAGAGAAATCACTCTACCTGATGTTAAGGCTTATTATGTTGCCTATAATTATATAATGTGTGGTATTAGCAGAGGGACAGACAGAAAATCAATAGAACAGACTAAAGAATCCAGAAATAGACCGATAAAAACATGCCCAACTGATTTTTGACAAAGGTGCCAAATTCAGTGGAAGAAGGTTACTGGAGTAACTTTGCAACAAATGGTTACTGGAGTAACTGGACACAACAGGTAAGAAAAAAAGAACCTCAACCTAAACCTCACATCTTATACAAACATTAACTCAAAATGGACTTGAAAGTAAAACACAAAATCATAAGACCTTTGGATAAAAACACAGTAGAAAATCTCGGGGGCTACAGGCAAAGGGTGATAAAAATAGGCAAAGAATTCTTAGACTTTATACCAAAGCACAATCCATAAAAGAAAAATCTGATAAACTAGATTACATCAAAATTTAAAACTTTCCCTCTGAAAGACCCTGTGAAGATGAAAAGACAAGCAACAGACTGAGAGAAAATATTTGCAAACCACATATCTGACAAAGGACTTGTAACTAGAATAAATAGGCAAAAAAACCAGGACCAACATGAATAGAATCTACAGATGGCAAATAAGCACATGAAAAGATGTACATCATTAGCCATTAGGAATGATACAAGTTAAAACCATGAGATAGCACTAAACACCTATCAGAATGGCTACAATATAAGAGTGATTAACATCAAAAGCTGACAAGGATGCAGAGAAACTGGATCAATTATACATTGCTGTTAGAAATGTAAAATAGCACTGCCACTCTAAAAAGAGAACGACGTTTCTTACAAAACCAAAAATGCATTTATCATACAACCCATCAAGTGCACTTTCAGGCATATATCCCAGAAAAATGAAAATTTATGTTCACACAAAAAACTGTATAAGAATAATCACAGCAGCAGCATTAGTTAATAGCTAAAAACCGGAAACAATGGGATGTACCATAACACTCTGTGATATACCCATACCATGGAATACTACTCAGGAATAAAAAAGGAACACACTATTGATATATACCACTTGGATGGAGCTCATGGAAAAAAAAAATGAAGTCTATTCATCTCAAAAGGTTAAATACTACATGATTCCACTTATATAACATTCTTAAAATGACAAAATTACAGAAATAGTGAACAGATTAGTGGATGCCACAGGTTAGAGAGAAGGCAAGAAGGTAGCTGTGCCTTTAAAAGCTGGTAACACAGGATCCTCGTGATGGAATTGTTCTGCATCCTGACTCCGGTGGTGGTCACATAAATCTACACATGTGGTAAAATTGCAAAGAACTAAACACATACACACATGCAAACACGAATGCATGTAAAACTCGTGAAACCTGCTTAAGGTTGATGGATGTATCACTGTATCCAAACCAATTTCCTGGTTGCAATATTATATTGCAGTTATGCATTATGTTACCACTGAAGAAACTGGATGAAGCATATATGGGATCTCTATATATAATTTTCATACAACTGCATATCAATCTATAATTAACTCAAAATAAAAAGTTAAAAACTTTTTTTACCTCCAGTAAGAAAAGAATTGAGGACACTATACAGTTAACTATTTCAAAGACATCACTACAGATGACTGATTTTCAAGCTCCCAAGTGGGCAGTTACATAATTAACCTCCATCCTACTACTCAGAATCCAAAGACTTGTTTTTCTTCTCTTCCTTCTTTCTCCTCTTTCCGCCAACATTCCATAAACCTCCTTCATAACTGGCTATAAGAGAGAACCATAGCATATGTGTGTGTGTCTACATTGCGACACCATGTTCTCTCTAGTTTTATACATACACAGGTGTTTTTTGTTTGTTTATCATTATTAGCATTCTGTGCTCTTGGTTCCCAATTTTAAAATTCATGATATGGCACATTTTATACTCCTCTTTAAAAATAATTAAAATGTTTGTTGTTTTTTGTGACAATAATTGCTTTCAGACTCTGCCCCCACCCCACCTCAAGTTAAGTGGCCCTTTTAAAAAAAAAGTTTCTACATCTTTGCTCTACAATTTGGGTTGATCACTGGTGAAGCCTACACAACAGGGTAACTTCTGTGCACTGAAACAGAAGATAACAATTGCTAATTGTATAGAATAAGTTAGGTACTTTTTCTAATCACTGATGTACACCGTGTTAGTAAGCCATTGCCCCTGGGCTTAGCATTGGCATACCAAACATGGTATACTATACAAAGAAGCACTATAACATACCATGTATTAAAAACACGTAATTAATACATTGCAGAAAGTTAATTTATTTGTAGTTCTGACTTGCACTTGTTCAGAAAGCTCCACTAGCAGGCATTATTCCTGTACTTTTTCCCTAGCTTTGCTTTCCAAACTACTCATCAATTTTCATAAGCCCTAACTCAGGGCTTCTGTTTGATATACATATATACACACACATATATTCACATATACATTGTATACATATTTAGTTCTATGCAATTTTATCACATATACGTGATACACACACGTACAAGGTAGCAACTAATACAAATTCTTTGTGTAACAGTCATGGGGTAGTACTCTTTTTTCAACTTGTTTCAAGAAAAATATCTTTTTAAAAGCTCTGCTATATTCTCAGACTAGTTAACAACATTCTTCCACCTACCTCTCATATTAGTTTCTATCTGGGGGAATAAGGGAAGGCCCTGCCCCCAAAAATGTCTTTTACAAATGTTCTAAGAAATAAAAACAAAGTATTTTTCATGTGGCATTTCTTACACAATGGCCCCAAAAGTCAGTTTTATACACTACAGCTATTAGTGTATCATTTTCAATTTTAGAAAAACAATCAAATAATCAAATAATGTATTTCTCCAAAATGACTAAGATTCATGGAATTAAACACCCATTCATTAACAGGTGGCCCATTAACGTGTAAATTTTTTGTATCTTGCTCTTAAATATACAATCTTAATTTTTTCCTAATCTCTTAGAAAGATAATTTTAAAAATATTTTAAAAAATAGTTTTCATTTCCAAGCATATGCTGAACTGCAATAAGCAGTCTTAATAGAGCACATTAAATACCCAATGAAAAACAACACAAAACAGCACAATTAGAAGCTGTATAAGTTTTACCTTAATTCTTCTCTCGGTGTCATCTAATTTTAACTCTGCTGAAACTAGTTTCTTTGCCAAATCATCTCGCTCAGGTAGATGTCTAGCTTCAGAGATCTTTTTCAGTTTCTGTAAGGAAAATTTTGTCCTAAATAGTTCACCTTCTGTATCTTTTACCCTTTTCTCAGTTGCCCGTTCTTTCTCTTGAGATTTTCTTAAGCGTTCTTTGAGTGCTGTAATCTCATTGTTATGACGAGCAATAAGTTGTGAGATTTCATTTTCTGTATCTTCAAACTTATTCAGGGCTTTCTCCTGTCTGTATTGAAGCCTTTTCAAAGCCTTATTTTCTTTTAGCAGCTCAGCTAACTTGACCTGGAGTTCAGTTACTTCATTCTGCAATTCATTGATTTTTAGCAGTCTTGCAGAAAGAACCCGTTTTGTTACAAGATCAGTATCTTTCCGAAGTGGCTCCCTATTGAGGCTCTGGGAGCGAAATCCCACTCGGACTCCCCTTCTGTTTGGTGGACCCTTAGGGCTTGGCTTCCTAGGGGCTAAAAAAGAAACAGTAATAATGTAAAGTGAAAGCTGTACCAATGTAATATTATTTATTCATTCTAACACAAATGGATCTATAACATTCTTTATTTTGTTCCTTAAAAAATGATCTTACAATATTTAAGTATCAGGTTTTATTTAGACTCTTAATATACTGTTTTCATTAAGAAAGGTTCAGAATCCTTTTTAAGAAAGGTCAAGAATATTCTGACTTATCAAAATGTTATCCCAATGGTTTACAGGAAATTATTTTACATTGCTTTAAAAAATGGCAGCATCAGACTATGGACTCTGAGAAACAAATTGAGGGGTCTAGAGGGGAGGGGGGTGGGGGGATGGGTTAGCCTGGTGATGGGTATTAAAGAGGGCACATACTGCATGGAGCACTGGGCGTTATACGCAAACAATGAATCATGGAACACTACATCAAAAACTAATGATGTAATGTATGGTGATTAACATAACAATGAAAAAAATGGCAGCATCAAGCTTTACCATTTTTAACTTTATACGTAAGATGGCAAGCCAGAATTCGAACACAAGCATCATCAGCATCAGCATGGGATTTAATAAACACTGGACAAAATACTGTGATACTCAAGTAATTTATGCCAAGATATTTGGGATTATAATTTGGAATGTGGAAATGTATGTTTTCTCTAATTAGAACTCTTTTTCTTTATTTGGGGAAACAAGACAACAACACATTGTATGACAAGAAGACTTGGGTTTGGGACTTTGATTTACCACTTAATAACTCCTTGGGCAATTCAGCTAAACCTTTCCAGGTCTATTTTCCCCACCCGTAGAATGAGGATAACACCACCTACATAACTAGGTTGCTGTGAGGATTAAACAAAGAATGCATGTAAAAAAGGAATTCTCCACAAATATTCTGTCAGTAATAACTTAATCCCATTTATCAGTGATTGAAAATGACAAACACTTTTAGCAGTACAGATGTGATTTTAAATGCTTGCTCAGGGGCTTTCTTTTGTGTGAGGTTCAAATCAAAAACATTTGACATAATTTGAGAACAAGATAAAAACAAAAACCTACACCCTAAAAAATATAGGCATATGAAATCTTTAAACTGTACATATTAAATATTTCACAAAAATTTGAAATATCATTATTTTTACTACAAGTTCATTAAACTTAGACCCCAACATACAAAGTACCTGCCCTTTAAAAAGAGACATATGGAAGTCTGCCTCAATTGAGAATAATGAACTTTAATCTCCAAGGTGACTGCATTTTTTCCAAGAAGGAAATGCATTCCAGAGGGGAAAAAAAAAAAAAAGAAAAACTAGAAAACTCAACCTTTCCCTACCCTCTCTCCAGCCATGGATACCTTGATTCCATTATGTAAACAAGTGAACAGTAACAAGTAATATTTACAATTTACATTACAAAGTTTCATTTAAAAAAAATGGAAGATTCTAAAGAATGTGTTTTGAATGTGTACTGATTTGGGATTTCAGTTCTATAATTGTTTGAATACACAAAAGGACATGGTAATAATAAGAAATGGGGGAAAGCCTGTAACTTTGAACTACACTTTCCAATATAGTAGTAGTCACTAGCCACATGTGGCTTGAGAGATTTGAAATGTGGATAGTCCAAACTGAGATATGCCATAATTGAATTTCAAACACTTAGTTCAAAAAAAGATGCATAATGTTTCAAATACAGTGCTTTTAACTACATTTTAAAATGATAATATTTTGGATATTTTGGATTAAATAAAATATACTATTAAAATTAATTATACCTGTTTTTCTTTTTTAATGTGGTTATCAGACAATATAAAATTACATGTGTGGCTTGTGTTTGTGACTTGCATTATATTTCCCCTGGACAGCACTGCTCCAATTTTATTTATTTATTTTTTTAAAGAGTAAGCTTTTTTTTTTAAGATTTTATTTATTTGACAGAGAGAGACACAGCGAGAGAGGGAACACAAAGCAGGGGGAGTGGGAGAGGGAGAAGCATGCTTCCCGCCAAGCAAGGAGCCCGATGCAGGGCTCGATCCCAGGACCCTGGGGTCATGACCTAAGCCGAAGGCAGATGCTTAACAACTGAGCCACCCAGGCGCCCCAGCACTGCTCCAATTTTAAATTGGGGCATCCATCATTTCAATTTTCTTTCCTTCCCAACACACTGAGTTAACAGTTTTGGTATCCATATACTTTCACGAAATATGTATGTACTCAATTCCTGGAATGACAGAAACTTTATACATATATTCTATTAGCATGACTACAAACTGATCATAAAAAGTATACTTAACCTGAACTCAAAAATATTTTCTAGCTGCCATTTACTTTTTTTTCATTTTTAAAACTATCAAGATGAATTACAGTGCTAATAAGAGAAAAGATGATTGACTATCATGTGTATCACTCTTCATTTACCCCTTGTTAAGTCACTATGAAAAAGAGCGTGAGAAAATATTGTTTTTTCTTTCTTCAGGTGATAAAAATAAAATATGACTCCTTTAAGAAACACATAGTAAAGATGAATTATCCAACTATAAAAGACTTAAGATGTTTATACTATTGATAAAACATGAAATATAATATATAACATATAATATATAAACATGTATAACTTAAACTATTAAATATTATGAATATAACTTTTGATAAAGCAACAATTTTATTTTAAAAAATAATTAGATATGCTGAAAATTAAAAAGAGGAAGAATGTTATCAAACATGCAAATCCACAAATTCAAGTGTTTAAGATGCTATTTTAATCACATTTTGTTCTTTCCTTAGTTGACTGTACACTGCCAGCTTAAAAAGAAACTAATTCAGTGTTTAAGGAAACACTAAAGTGTTTAACTATAATTTGTGTGGTCCTATTGATTGATCTAAGGTAGACAAATTATCACAGACTTTAATTCAGAAGACAAAACAAAGGAGAAAATAGTACAAGTCAGATTGAAGATAATAACTGAAATTTTCTGCATCATGTTAGAACTGTTTCTCAAAGCTTTTTCTCAATTATCTTCTTAAATAAGGTTAAGAATTTCTGACTCCTTGGGGCGCCTGGGTGGCTCAGTCGTTAAGCGGCTGCCTTCGGCTTAGGTCATGATCCCAGGGTCCTGGGATCAAGCCCCCGCATCGGGCTCCCTGCTCGGGGGGGGAAGCCTGCTTCTTCCTCTCCGACTCCCCCTGCTTGTGTTCCCTCTCTCACAGTGTCTCTCTCTCTGTCAAATAAATAAATAAATAAAATCTTAAAAAAAAAAGAATTTCTGACTCCTTAATTAGATGGGCTCCTAAATTTCTTCTGGGGGAGTAGTGAAAAATTAAAGTATTCCTACCAATAATACCAATAATTCCCCAAATATGTAAGTTATTTCTTAGGAATAAATAGGCATTTTCTAAGGTTCAACCCTATAGTCTATCTGTTCTTAATTAGATAGCAAAAGTTTAATATCAGATCATGCATTCAAACACAAAATCAAAACAAGAGGCTCACACTGAGACAGATTTGGAGGAAAAGAACAAAAACCTGCAGCACTGTACAGGCAAAAGAAAGAAAGAAAAAGAAAAAACACCTAACTGTTGTAAGAATAACATTCCTAGGAAGTTAGATCAGGGTCCGCAAGAGGGATGCTTTCAAAAGTAACATATTCTTTCCAGAATATTTTTTAAGGCAAATACTACTTTTCAAAGTAAAAATTTATAAAGGCACATTTAATTATACCCCTGCTTAAATCTGTTCAATAGCTAACTATTTCCCCACAGAAACAGACAGCCAATATATTATATGTTCCAAGGTGTTTCATGACCTGACTGACCTGTTTTCCTTTTCGGCTTCCAATTTTACCCCTCCCTGTGCCTTACAATCTAAACTCTATATAATCCTTCTAAGCTAGTGTTGTTATAACTGTGCTGTATTCATTAATGTATACTGTAATTACCTCATTTACCTTAGCTTAATTTTCTATGGTGTATTTTTCTATGGTTGTCCTTAGATACTTTGTTACAAGTACAACTGGGGGTTTTTGACCAGAAATTCATTAAGATGAAGAAGAGATTTCTAGAACAATACCTTGTCAAATTATGTATTAACATGTAGTTCCAAACTAGGAACACTTTAATAAGACAAATTATTTCTAATGATTAATCCTGTTTCCATTATAACACAGTTTTACAGAAAACAGAGTGGTAGTCCCAAGTCCCAAACTCCATTTCTAGATTTAATTCAAACTTTTACAGTAAACACTGTGTAGCCTAGAGGAAGTAATTTTACTCTCTATATAAAAATGTCCCTTAACTACTTTATAGCAATGTCATTTGCTGCTTTTTAGAGGTGAAGATTAAAAAAGGTATAAACATTTTGTGATTTTTTTTGTTTGTTTGTTTGTTTTGCCTTCACAGTACCTCAGCAACACCAAGACAAACATTTATTTAGGGAGAACAAAATGAGAAGGCTTATTAATAGTTCCTTCTTCTGTATATAGTATGATTTTGATTATAACAAAGGATAATACGCAGCACCATAGGCAACAACTACATATAACACTATATATACAACTATATATATACATACATACAATTATATATACAAAAATACATCTTATTCAAAATGTAGATCAGCCCATTTCCATGCATATATCCATACATATACCCATACATACATAATAACAGAAGTTTCATTCATACAACTTTCCTAAAAACTCAAAATGAGTCTTCTAGGTCCACTGGACTCTTAAAGAATGCTTACCTTGATGATGCACTTGGCTATCTGAAATTTGTCTTTTAGGATTTTTTCCCTTAATACTCGTAGGTGAAGAACTGACCAGTGATGACCGGCCAGAAGACTGTGGGGTAGATCCAAAATCAGATGAACAATAAGAGTAATGGTATTTGCCTGTCTTACTTTCTTGATCATTATCTGGACTTCTTTCTCTTTCCCCCATGGTTTTGAAAAATAGTCTCTATTCACATAATTTCACAGATTCCTTTTTCCAAAAAACTCCATGACAAGCCTGAAGAGCAATGTTTAGAGTCTTCAGATCCTGGTGATAATATTCATGTCTGCACTTTGTTTCTCTAGGTATCTGTAGTAGAGATTAACACATTAGCAACCAGAAGATACACTTTTTGCCCCTACAATTAAGGAAGGGGAAAGGAAACTCATTATATCTCGTGAAATACGTTTTACGGTTAATTACAATGAAAGATACTAAAAGCAAATAATATACTGTTTACAATTTTTAAAATTCACCTGTATTTTCACACATTGTTATTTATACTATTTGGAGAATAGATAGAATGTTGTAGGCTGGACAGAGAACATGTAAAATGCCTGACATAAAATTGTTTTTGAATAAAAATTAACTGAATTTGACTCCCCTGAATCTTAAGATTTATAATAAAGACAAATGCTGATTTTTGACAGACGCATAATGACCAAATCACCATTTTTTTCTTTTCTGGGGAGGCAGGTGGTGGTTAAGGCAAGCCTGCCTATAGGAACAGCAACAACAAAAACCTAACTACATAAAAGTGTAAAACTAAAGTATGTAAAAAATTAATCAAATTAAAACACCTGAAGAAAAACATTTGCAACATGACAGAAAAATGGTTACCATCCTTAACGTATATAAATAACTCATACCACCCCATAAGAAAAATATGAGGTCAAACGTTAAATGAGAAAATACATGTTAAGACCCACAGCGGGCAATACAAATGATACGCACATAAAAATATTCAACTTCAGATACCATTTTTAAACTTACCAATTATCAACGATTTTTCAAAGCAACACTCAATGCTGCTAGAATGCCTATCAAGAAAAGATCCACAGGATTTTTGTAAAAAAAAGTTGGCAAGATGTATTAAAACTTTAATTGCACTTTTAACCTTTGATCCGATAATTCCATTCCTAAATAACAAGAAAATAATCCTAAAAACAGAAGAAAAGTTATATACAAATGTTTATGCAGTACAATTTTTTGAAAGATTTATTTACTTGAGAAAGAGACAGCATGCAACCAACTGTGCCACCCAGGTTCCCCTACGGTACAAATTTTTTTAAAAACAGAAGCAACGTGTCAAACAATTGCAAAATAATTAAGAATACTGTAAAAATCAATACAGCATAATATCATGCTGTTGTTAGAAACACTTAAAAAAGTCTGTGTTACCAGAGGAAATGTTTATAGTACTATGGTAAAGACAAAATTCAAACTAGTGAATACAATATGATCTCAACTATACATATCGATTGAAAATACTGAGTATTCTCCCCTCAGAAATTGAAAAAAAATTGTAAAGTACAAGATACATACACACCAAAATAGTATCTGGGCAACATGAATTTTAGATGATTTTCTTCTCTGTATATTTTTATTTTCCAATAAAATAAAATTGGATTACCTTTTGCATTGGAATAATTGTTTTTAATATTCAGAAAAAAACAAAAATCCCATTGATGAAATTAGTATTTCAAGTATAGTGGTTCTAGTACTATATGGAAAAAGACCTATGTACAAGGCAGCACTACTACTGTTCACTACAGCAGTATTACAGTGGTAGACAGGACTAAAACAATCAGAAGGACCATCAGTAAGGAACTGGCGACATACAACCACATAATGAAGTACAATTATGAAGCTACTAAAGGAATGAGCACTACCTCTGTGTTTTTTCTGCAGTCTGGAGTGATCTCCACAATATACTAAGAAAAGAAATATGGACAAAACATGCATAGTATATTACCATTATCAAAAAGAGAAGATTACAAGTTTGTATACATAATGCTTCATATTTTTAAAAAGTAAAAGGATAAACTAAACACTTACTGGAAAAAAAAAGGGTTCTGTAAGGCAAGGCTGTCCAATACAACTTTCAGCAAGAATGGAAATGTTTTATAGTCTGTGCTGTCTGGTATGGTAGCTGACCACACATGGCTACTGAGCACCTGAAATATGGCAAATGTGACTGAAGACTAATTTATAATTTTGTTGAATTTTAATTAAGTTTTAAAAGCTATACATAATGGTGTTTGGCTCATTGAATCTCAATGATCTCATTTTTAAAGGAAATAATAATAGTAATAGAAGAATTAATGTGACAGTTAATTCTAGAGTCTATTCTAGTCTATTTTAGACTAGAATAGAATTAATGTGATAGTGAAATAGGATAATTCAATAACTATGACACAATAAGCACTCAGTAAAAATCAACAATTACATTTACAATTCAAACATACAAGATGCTTAGTAAATTGATTGAGATTCCTTGTCAAAGACTCAGTTTTAATTACAATATAATTAAAAGCTGATCATATGGTATAAATGAGGATTATTTGTTTACATGCATATAGCAGAAGTAGCTCCCTATGGCCTGTCCCATCTTAATCAGAGATGCCACCTAACTTTTCACTGCAAAAGACAGACCCCACAAAACATTACCTGCCATTCATCTCCTATGCACCAGCACTCATTCTTCTCCACCCCTGCCTCAAATATATGCATATAGTTTCTAAAAAAAAAGAAACATCCACTGCCCCATTATTCAAGTCCTTCTCCCTGGGATAGCTATTTTAGTGGCTTATACTTTCATGCCTATGCTATTTCTTGAATTCGCAATTTAAGACCATGAAAGATGAGGATTTAACTGTGACTCATTTTAAATGGTTGCAACATGCAACGACTAGTTAGTTATGGAAGGTTTTTTTCTTGGCATTTCTAATTGTCCTTTATTCTTACTGAAAAGAAAAAACAATCTTCCTATATCACTAATATTTACCTAGCTTGCTAGTCATTCTATCTATAGCCTTGAAATCCATTCCATTCCTCCTCTTAAAAACATTTTTCTTAGAGATCAATTATTTCTGATTCTAATTTAAACCAATTATTCTGTAGACCTGTGGTACCACTGTCATTCTGGAATCATTTTTATAGTACTTCTGAGTTAATCCATTTCTAATAGCTCATGTCATCATCTTTATTAGTTTTGATCATCATTTTACTTCTCCATATCCTCAAATAATTCTACAGAAGGGGTAAAAAGGTTGAGATAAATGCTCTGAATCCTTGTATGCCTAAGAATGTCTTTATTTTGCCCTCCAATTTGGTAGTTTTCTAAGTTCTACATTCTAAGTTATCTTTCTCAGAACTTTAAAGACACTGTTCCACTGTCTTCCAAACTCTCAGAGGTTCTTGAAAGATGTTACACTCTTTCTTTTATCCAACATGTATTTCTTTTGAGCTCTCACCACGTAACCATAATGAAAATATCAACCACAAAAATCCCTGCCATTACAGAGTTTACACTCTAGTTATGCTCATCTGATTCTCATTCCCTTATAGGTTATCTTTTTCTTTTCCTCCCTAGGAGTTTTTAGGATTTTCCCTCCTCTTATACTGCAATCCCACAACATGTGTAGGTGTGAGTCTTTTTTCATTAATTGTGTTGCCCCTTTATTTCCCTCTTCCATTTAATATTGAAACAAGTATCTTTAAGCACTAGAAATGTTTTTGTTACTTTTCTGATAACTGACTTTCCTGTTTATTCTTTCTAAGACTTCTACTGGCTAAATAACAGACTGCTCTGTTTTTCTATTTTCACTCAACTTATCTTTTAACTATCCAGGGTTGTTGTGTTTTTGTTTACTTTGTGCAAACATCTTAAGTTCCAAGAATTCTTTCTTGTTCTGGTTTTTTTAAATAATTATCCTGTTCTTGCTTTACTGAGGCAATATATTTTCATTTCTCTGAGAACACAAATAGACATTTTATTTGCTTTAAAGTCTCTTCTGATCCAGGAACTCGGTTTCACATGGTGACAGTTTTTCTTTTTACCACTGGCTTTTCATTTATATATGGTTTTATTTCTTTGAAGTAATTTTCAGTTGTCCATTGATATATAAAAAAGAGAAAAAAAAGAATAAATTGAAAACAGGTACTTATGAATAGGGCTTCCTGACAGGCACACTCTGCTTTCGGATGAATAGCAGAGAATCAGCCATTTTCCAGGGGACTCCCTAAAAGCTAGAATTAGGAGGGATAATCTCCAGACACAAATATCCACCATGGCAACTCTACTTCTCTTTTAGGGTTGTCTTTATTTTGATTTCCTCAAGAAATTACTTCCATATTTTTTGACGGGAAAGAAAGGGAGTGGTGAAGGGCAGGGAATATTACACTGAGTCACTGTGTATGGGATTGGGTAGGAAAGGAGGCATAAGTATTACATAGTTTTTCAACTATTCTTCCTTCCCGTTTTCAATTATCCTTTCTCTCTGACTTTTCAAATTCTACGATCCTCTAAGATTCTTTTGGATACACCTGAATCTGTCTTTGCTGTAGTTCCCTCTTGAATATTTTCAGACACGGTTTTCTCTGTTTCAATGTGTTTCATCTATTGTTACTCTTTTCCTTTTTCAGAAATGTGCAGTGATGTCTTATCCACTGAGAGTACCCTAATATCCCTTCAAAGTCATAGGTTCATTCTGTTGTTTTTCTTTAATAGACTTTTAATGTGGTCTTCAAGAAGAGAGAAGAAAAACAAATCTACATCTTTAATAACAAATATATTTTAAAGCCAATTATTTCAGTTATTCTCAACCTTTTAAGACAACTTGATATAAGCACTTTTCCAAAGTCCAAGAAACTACTATTCAATTCATGCACCAATTCAGTCAACAAAAATTACTGATGGTACAGATGCCATTATACACAATGACGAAAGCAATCTGAGCAAGAATACACTGAGAGTTCTTTTAGGGCAGGGTCTGGCTCTTCCATCAAAGAGAGACAATTAAGAAAAAGTAATAATATATTATGTACATATCATTTATATAGTCCCTAAAAATATTACCTGTTAATTATATGAAAAACCTTTCTTAATAGTAACAAAAAAATACAAGAGTAACCCCCAAAATACTAGACAACATCTTATCTTTGTC